ACCAGTTTATTTTGTATGCATAATATAATAAATGACAAAATTTGAAAATCAGAATAATTGTTCAGAGTTAACAAATTTTTAAAAAGTATAATATATTTATATAAAATCCGGCCGAAGGCCGGGCAAAAGCGGGCCGAAGGCCCGCAAATTGGAAGGTATGGGGGCTTTTTTAATTGAGCCCCCTGAGAGTGTGAAAGCTAGCGACGCCCCTGAAAGTTATTATAATATTAAATATTTTATAACTGTCAAATATGTCTGTAAAAGTTGCCATTTACCTAATATTATGTAACCAATTCTATATAATGGAGGATTATCAACTATATGTTAATTTACTTATTATAAATAAATTTCTTATACTTGTTTGGAGGTTGGAAATATTTTTAGAAAGAGGCATGGTCAATATATTTAAAAATGATTAACATAGTTAATTAGTGATTTTGAACTCGGCTATTTATTAAACATGTTAATTTTCAATTAATAAATGAATCTATTTATCTAAATAGGGTTATAAAATAATTCAAATAATAAAAATTTAATATGGTGCAAAAAGTTAACGAAAGAAAAGTGAAATTGCGTTTATTGAGTTTATTATATTTTTACATTAATCTAAAAAAAACTAAAAAACTATTATCAAAAAATAAGGTATATATATCTTTCATATTAAATATTAAACAAAAATAAAAAGTATCAAAATATATTACAAAAATATTTTAAACATAAGCAATGTTACAAGCTAAAATAATCGTAAATTTTCATCAACATATTAAATAAGGTTATATTCAAATAATACCAATTAAAGTTATATAAAATATCAATACAAATTTAAATATAAAAAATAAATTCCATTATTTAACATTCTCCCTCTTCTGAGATGTGAGAGCATGTTGTTTAAATGGTCTGTTATTTTGGTTGTTCAAGCAGGGGGTCGCTAGCCTTTACAATCTCAGGGGGCTCGTATGGCGCTGATTAAGATATTGCAGTATTATATTTTAAAAATTTTTTATAGCATTTCTAATCTATTTCGATGATCTTTAAAATAATTTTAATTTTTCATTTCAATGTTATTTGCATTATTGAATTCAGCAACATTTGTTTCACCAAAAAAAAAATGACCAACAGTTTCCAAATTAGATATTAAAACTTGGTGTTATAGTTTGAGATTGATTATATACTACTGGTACTATATATGGGGTTTCTTTTAATAATATAAAAGTATTTTTTTTTATCATCCGACAATTCGAATCTTAAAATATAGTGATAATAATGCCAAAAAGCCTCGTTATATTCATTATCATTAGAAGAAAAAAATTCCCAATCTTTTGTCAATTCCATCTGGGACAACTTTCAATAAAGGTAAACAATATTGCATAAATTTTTAATATTACCTAAGTCTCTTTTAACTATAAATCAGAGACCGGCAGGCCCGGCCCTAAACCCGGCCCGGCTCGATTTTAAATTTTTTAAATATACCCAGGCGGGCCGGGGCTAAAAAAAATTTTTTTAACATATCCGGGCCGGGCCTAAAAAAAATTTTTTTAAATATATCCGGGCCGGGCCTAAGATTGTTAAACCCGGGCCGGGCTGGGCCTTAATATTTTTTATAAAAATTTTTACATTATGAGTTAATGGTTATAAGATTATATTATATTATAGTTATGATTAATATAATATTTGGTGATGGTTAACATTACCTAACAACCCACAGATCGATCTAATTATTAATTTCCTGCGAATTTATTTAAAGTATTAATATATTTTTTTTTATAATTCATATCTAAATTTTTACAACATATTTTACCAAAACAATCAAATAAAGGAATATCTTAAATAAGCCCCAATATTCAAGTATTATTAATATATTTTTTTATAATTCATATCTAAATTTTTAGAATATATTTTACCAAAACAATCAAATAAAGGAATATCACTTCTTAAAGTTTGTAATACCTTTCAAAGCGAAAAGGAGAAATAAAATTGATTTTACTTAATATAAAGCATTTTTTAATTGAAAAATTTGTTTTACACACGTATCATTTTATTTCTCTTTTTCTCTGTCCCAAATTCAAGCAATTACGTATGTAGTCAGGGACAGATCGCAAAATGACGGAAAACTATATAAAAGATTATATTAAATTACAAGAGGCTCAGGAAGTAAATGAAATACCATCGACCAGTCAAATTATGTCTGTTGTTAAACAAACTGAATCGTTTTATGACAAATGGGGTGATGGTAATTCTGGTAATATGTCAATACCCGATGATGAATATTATAATTACATAAATAATAGATAAAACATTTAAAGTGGATAATTTGTTAGAGTGGTGGGCGGCTCATCAAAGCGAATTTCCAATTTTAGCAAAATTGGCAATTCCTGCTTTAAGTGCAAGCTGTGAGCGGAATTTTTTCACTACTGGGAGCATTCTTGAAGAAAGAAGAAGTAATCTTCGACCTGAAAAGGTAGATATGTTTCTCTTTCTTCATGATAATTTTTGAATTTTTAATATCTTTCTTGAGTATAGGGTTTCGTCAATCATGCTGGTTTTTTACTTTGCAAACTGTCAAAGATTTATTGCTTATTATATTTACCTTGAGTCATGAAAGTTTTTAATCCAACATTTTTCATAACTTTTTTTACAATATTATATAATACAATTATCTTTTTTTGTTAAAAATTTATATTATAAAATAAATTATATTAATATTGTGCAATTAGATTATATTTTCAAAATACTATTTATTATACATGCATTTTTTTAAATAGCGATTTATTTTTATTTTATAAATTAAATAGTAAATTAAATACAATATATTATATTCTCAAAATATTTTCCATTTTTATAAATTAAATATTAGTTTTATATTTTTAAATGTAATATAAAATATAGTATATGACAAATATTATTACCATTTTTATGAATATTAGTTTTATTTTTATAAATGCAATATAAAATATAGTATATGCTCAAAATATCCCTTTTTATAAATAACAGTTTTATAATTTTTATAAATTCAATATAATATTCTCAAAATATTAGCTTTTTACATGTATTTTTAAATAATAAGCGATAATACTCGCTGAAAAATATGGTAAAATACCTCATAGGTAAATTTTTGTATATACCTGGTCGAATATTTTATTTTTTTAAAAAAATATCCGGGCCGGGCCGTAAAAATTTTTTTTTTAAATATCCGGGCCGGGCCTTAAATTTTTAAATCCGGGCCGGGCCGTAAAAAAATTTTTTTTTTAAATATCCGTGCCGGGTCTAAAAAATTTAAAACCGGGCCGGGCCATGCAAATGGTACCTCTGCAGGTCTCTGCTATAAATATTATGGGCACTAATTCTTTATTACTCTGCTCTTGTAATTTGTCTTAACAATATTCCTCAATATAAACAATATTTGCTTCTTTAATAATGGGACAATCAATTGTTTCAAATAATAAATTAAAATATGATTTATATTTTAACAGTAAAGTCATACTATCATATAAGTTATTCTATCAACCTGATCATGCATGGAAATTTTAGCCGATTACCACCTATTATCTCCCTTATCTTTTCAGAAGATTTGGACCTTCCGCTTGCTTTTCATAATTTTATAAATTTTTCCATTCATCCATTTCAATTTAATTTTGTATAATTATTGGTTTTATTTTATTAATGGCATTAAATCACGCAAATATACGGGTTAATTTTTTTTTGTATTATTGTATAGTTTGCTTTATATCGGGTATAAATGTCAAGAATGATATTTCTAATTTAAAAAAAATCAATATATAATTATTACAACTTAAAATTATCATATAAATAATAAACTTTAATATGTTTAACAATATTTGTAGAGGATTATGTTAAACCCTTTATCATTTTTTTTGTGTTTACAGGTTTGACATTATACATATTCATTTGACTTGAATTATTTAAAAACGTTTACATCTAAAATTTTAAGATTGAGATTTGATTCAGGGGAACTTATTTCCATAATTTATCATTCACTACATTCTTCACTATCATGAGTGTTAACCATCCTACAAATTAAAAAATATTAGATAAAATTGATAATTATTTTCTTTCGAGTTACATTTAATTTATATAGAAAAAAAATATATTCTTATTTATTTCATTTTGATTTTTTTAATTTTTATCTATCTATCTATCTATCTATCTATCTATCTATCTATCTATCTATCTATCTATCTATCTATCTATCTATCTATCTATCTATCTATCTATCTATCTATCTATCTATCTATCTATCTATCTATCTATCTATCTATCTATCTATCTATCTATCTATCTATCTATCTATCTATCTATCTATCTATCTATCTATCTATCTATCTATCTATCTATCTATCTATCTATCTATCTATCTATCTATCTATCTATCTATCTATCTATCTATCTATCTATCTATCTATCTATCTATCTATCTATCTATCTACTACTCTATCTATCTATCTATCTATCTATCTATCTATCTATCTATCTATCTATCTATCTATCTATCTATCTATCTATCTATCTATCTATCAAATTTTTTATACATGAATATTAAAGAGAATCTTTTGAATAGAAGATTTTAGATACTCCCACTAATGTATCTGTTCAATTCAATATTGCTAAAAATGTTTTTACTTATATGTGGGGATCGATAAATCATTGGAAATAAAATATTTCATTGTTAAAATAAATAATGATATTCAATATATTTGCTAATATTGATACAATATGTATTACTATTTTATAGATGCATTGTATAATTATTAATGAATTATTTACAAATAAAGTATCGATAATTTATCCTTCGTATTAAATATATGTTGGTAAAAAAATTTACCTATATCGATAAACTAGTTTAGAATTTGTATAGGCATGTGTTTCTATACCCTTAGTTAAGAATTATGATTATTCTAAATATTACTAATAATTACAAATAGCTTTATTTTAGATATGTTTAATTAATCATTACGTCAGTCTTGTCATAATTATGTCATTCATCAAAATTTAGCAGACCATTAGATTAAAATTACTTAAGAATTTGCATTGTTGGATATTAATATTTTCTAAATGGAGGCTAAAAATGAAATTATAACTATCATTGGAAGGTAGTTTTATAATTTTTATTTATGGTAAATGATCTAAGATTATCAAATTTTTATAGTATAAGTCTTGAATTATAAAGCATAATAGCTGATTGAATGTTTATTCAATGAAAAATTTATGTATGAAAATATATTTAAATTATATTCATACAATATCTACTATCTATAATACAAAACATTGCTCATTGGCCTAACTAGAAGTGAGAAATATAAAAAAAAACCCTTCCTAAAGCTAATAATAATTATTCATTACACTCCTTGCTCCAAAAATTAAAATATTTAAAGAAATAAAAACATAATAATTTTAATAAATTGAGGGCTAATTTTATATTTAAAAAGGATATGCCATAAGAATTGATGTTTGACTGAGTCAAAAGCTTTGGAAATATTTATATAGATAATAAAGGTGTCAGTTTTAAAAATACGAGCTTTTTCGAGTCTGATCTTTATGGCTGTAATAAGTTCTATTGTATTGCGTCCGCTCTATGAGAACCTATAGATTTATGAGTATTGGTTTCGATAATTTTGATAATATTGTTGAGTTTGAAGGTTGTAAGAATTTTATAAAAGGGGGATGAAAGAGTAATACTTCTATAGTCATGGATTAAAGAAGGATATGGGATTTTGGGGAGGTTAATAATAGTGGATTTGCACCAGTCGAAAGGAATGATAGAGAAAACACCTCAAATTAAAATATTAGTATAATAATGATTCAATAAACCTTAATCAATTATAACATAATAAAAAAACAAGAGGCTATACAATCTTTATCTCCAACCATTCTAATAATCACAATGGTGTGTCATTCATCATAAAATTCAATTTTAAAATTTACAACAAACTTTGTACCTTTAAGTGACAGAATAGCCAGCATTACCTTGAACACTAAAGGTAAAAAATTTATCTAATAAATGTCTATACTCCTGCCAAACTTTTCGATTATCCTTCTTTTATTTTTTCTCTTAATAATTACCTTAAACACATTAGTCCTAATCATTTCATTATTATTGGTGGTGATTTTAATATGAAAATATTAACAAAACTGTTGGCTTCTCTGCATTAGAACAAAATACCAACAAAGATGGTAAACTTAATATAGACCTATGTAATAAATTTAACTTAAAAATAATTAATACTTTCTTCAAACAAAAAAATAATTATTTTACCTTTTTTAAATATAACTCAACATATAAAAGCCAATTAGATTTTTCCCTAACTAGTACCAAAATGTCCTCATATACATAATTTCTCTATTCTCAATGATTTTGTTTTATCTGATCATAGACCTATTTCTTTAAATCTTTTCATCAAATCCTCTCTCTTGAGAAACATTAACATATCCAATTCAAAAAGCCAATTAGATTTTTTCCTAACTAGTATCAAAATGTCCTCATATATTCATAATTTCTCTATTCTCAATGATTTTGTTTTATCTGATCATAGACCTATTTCTTTAATCTTTTCATAAAATCCTCTCTCTTGAGAAACATCAACATATCCATTTCAAAACAACCTTCATACCCATTGAATAAAAGATACAATGTCAATAATTTAAATATTCCTCCTTTAGCATAAATTCCATAATGATTTAAAACTAATATCTAACAATAACCCATGGCATACCATTCATAACTCCATTATTAACATGGCTAATCTACATTTAAATACTAAAACCTTATATCTGAATTGGAACAGTTCACATACTACTCAGCTTATTTACTCTTTACCAGCAAAAAACTTAAAAAGAAGCCCCTTATCAAATCCATATTAAATCAAATTAAAAAGTCAATCAGAAAGGATAAACGGAATTACATTTCATCTAAACTTAACCTCATTTCTGAATTTAAATTTTCAAATGATTTATATAACGCTTTTAAAACGTTAAAATTTATTTCCTCATCCAACGACAAAAAAATTCATAATTTGAAAGTAGGCAAGATTATAATAAAAATTTCAGTTGACCAATTAAATATCTTTATCGATCATTATAGATCCCTGTTCAATAATTAAATTCCCCATTCTAAATCTCTCTCTTCCCTCCAATTATTAATAAACACTCCTTTTCCTTTATATAAACAAGAATTTATTAACATTATCAAAAATATGAAAAAACAAAGCCAATTTAGATAATATTCATAATCAATTACTAAAAGCCTTCCCGGAAACTAATCTTCTTTTCCCTAATTTAAACAATATCTGGAAATCAGCTACCATTCCTCTCGACTGGTGCAAATCCACTATTATTAACCTCCCCAAAATCCCATATCCTTCTTTAATCCATGACTATAGAGGTATTACTCTTTCATCCCCCTTTATAAAATTCTTACAACCTTCATCCTCAACAATAATATCGAAACCAATATTCATAAATCTTTAGCTTCTTATAGAGCTGGACGCAATACAATAGAACTTATTACAGCCCTAAAGATCTGTTAAGGTTAGAAGGGAGTAAAGCAAGATATTACAAAAAGATTTAAAACTTTTATTAAATAAATATATTTTTTAAATATTTAACTACAATTTAACTGAAAAACTATAATAAATTTATCCTTTATATATATAAAAAAAACTATTAAATAATTCAATGAAACCATTAAGTAAAGTTAATATAAATTGTGTAAATTAAATGAATGCGACATACAAAAATTTTCGCTATATAACAACCATTATAATTAAATAATAATCCATGTTTAACAAGATCAGACTCGAAAAAGCTCATATTTTTAAAACTGACGCCTTTATTATCTTTATAGACATTTCCAAAGCTTTTGACTCAGTCAAACATCAATTCTTATGGCACATCCTTTTTAAATATAAAATTAACCCTCATTTTATTAAAATTATTATGTTTATTTATGAAAATAGTCTAATTCATATTAAACATAATTATTTAATTTCCCCTTTCTTTAAAATTAAATGGTTGCCTTTCCCCTTACTTCTTGAATTTATTAATTAGCGACTTGATTAATTCCTGTGATTTTAAAAATGTCAATTGGTTATGCTATGCAGATGATATTTGTATTATTACCGAAGATTTCAATTACATTAATCACATTCTAATTACAATATCTTCCAATCTTCAACTCATGAATATTAAAATTAACTTCAATAAAATTATTCATTTCAAAAACATGTTAAATTATATTGGTATTACAATCAACTCTAAAGGTTCAATTAATCCTAATATCTAATCTGCCACAAAGAAATTTTATTCTCTCAATAAATTCTGGAATTCGAAACTTATCTCAAACAAATTCAAAATTCATGTTTTTAAATCCTTCATCCTCTCATCACTAACATATGGAATTGAAACATGGGATAATTCCAGATCTAATCTGCATAAAACTCAAATTTTTATAAACAAATCTTTAAAAAACATCTTAGACATTAAATATCCTCTTATTATTTCTAACTTTAGTCTTTTGAACACTTGCAACATTCTTCCTCTTTATAGGCTCCTTACCTATAGAAAACTAGAACTTCTATGCCATACTCTCAGACATTATCACCATAGTACCATTTCAGATGCAATCTCCTATAAATCCCCTAAGACAAAAAACAATATTACTTATACCCAGGGTTGCCATGTCTCCCCCCAACAGCCGGAGACTCCCGCAGTTTTTTAGTTTACACGCAGACATTTCTCTCCCGCAAAACTACCGCAATTGGAAATCTCCCGCAAAAATCTACCGCAATTTTTTTAAAAAGTTTTTAATATATAAATAATAATTTTGAGAGACAGTAATTGATTATTTTTATATTTTAAAAATAAATTTTAAATATTTATTCGAAAAACATGTCTAGTTTATAAATTTCTTTCTATCCTGTTTTATTTTTATCCAATAATAAATCAACATCATTTCATTCTTCAGTACAAAGGAGTGTATCAACATTGATTGCAATACAAAAATATTCTCCAAAAATAATAAATAATACAGATGCAATTACAGTTGCGGAAATCGTATACACCTATCATGTGGTTCAACATTCACAGAGCTATATCATCACAATGTGGGTCGAATCTTTTTCCCATGATATTTAACGACTCCAATATAAGTGCAAACCTAACAAAAATGAGCACTATCACAAGTGTTTTAGTACCTGAATCTTAGAGGTCAATTCTAGACGATTTGAAAGATGGGCATCCATATGCAATTCTGACGGATGCATCTAATAAGGGAAATATTAAAACATTTCCCTTGATCTTTCGCTATTTCAACAAGAATAAGAACATTCCAATAAAACTGTTAAATATTTTTCCTTGGATAGTGAAAAATCCAACGATGTAACTAACCACATAATATAAATATATCTGATTCAGGGTTATCAATGAATTGCATGTCCGCTTTCTGCGCTGATAATGCCTCTGTAAATTTTGGCAAAAACCTAAGTGTATTTACCGAATTGAAGCCGCACAATAATGAATTATTACCAATTGACTGTATATGCCATATACTACATGATTCTTGCAAGAAGGCACTATATGTGGAGGTCGAAATAATTATGATGAGATGTTTTAACGAATTTAATTAATCAACTATAAGAGTTAATGAATTAAAAGGGTTGGTGGAGTGCTCTGACTTAGAATGATGTGAGTTGTTGCGATATGTACCTATCAGATGCTTATCGTTAATACCAGCCATCGATAGAATTTTAAAATTTTACAGACCTTAAAAAAATACCTTTTAAATAAAGATTTTAAAAGCTGTCCTAAAATTTTGAAATTTTTTTTATGAAATAGCAGAAGCATATTTGGGATTAGTTTCACATGTAGGAAATCTACTTCATGAAGTTAATATTCAGTTGCAATCAGAATATTCTTTATTAATAAAGATTCACAAAATCATGCTACAGCTCTGTTCATCTCTACAGTTAAAAAATTGATAATAAATTTTATGACACTATTGCTAAAAATATTGAATGTTCAAATAATACTCTAATTATTACATTTTTAAATGAAGCAGATATTTTTATTAAGACAATTTTAGAATATTTACGATCAA